AATTCTTCTTCTACCTTGCTAATCTTTACCCACACTACACATCATTCATCACATATCACGTGGCGGTCCTGCCACTTGAAGATCATGATCTACACGATCTTACCAAATTTTCCATATTGCAGACGACACTCCTACTTCAACGTAACCACATTTTTACCTACTACTCACTATGATCCCTGCCAAAGAAGGACTACCAGCCCCGAAACAGAACAAGTAATATCATTCTTCACCCTATTCGACTTTAAACAAGCTCACCCAGTAATTTGTCGACAACGTAAAGACTATTGATTACGAAGACATAATTGGGGAAAGAAGATGTGGAAAACAATACCAAGCCAATCAAGCGAGAATTGCTGAACACATAAATAACAATCCTCTCCCGGAATGATAAGACCCCACTGCAATTACGAACCTTATGGAAATTATATATGCCGTGAAGTAACTCATAAAAAAAGCATAATTTATTCACATAAAAATTACTACTGCATTTGATAAGTGATAATTGCGACTCCAATTGGATGTCAGAAAAAAATAAGATATAAATAAACAATAAAAAACAAAAATAATGATGAATAAGAAAAACAACTTAGACGGACCTTATCATATCCCTTTCTTTCCTTATAAAAAGTTGATAGCTGCTTAATACCAATGTTTTCATAGAATAATTATCCCCGAGCTATTTATCCTGTTCTTAATCTTAGCGTAAGGCTTCAGATATGTAAAATATTCTCTGAGACATAGCTTCGTTAGCATGATCCTTCATTATAAAAACCTGCGGTAAATTCCCTTGTTGTCAAAATTTCAATCATAAACTACTTGTGCTCTTTTCTGCTGTAACTTTTATTTAACAAAAATGACCCAACGGGCAGACGAAAAACTTTATGTAGAAATTGTTTTCATAGATGAATTCCAGTTTACGGCTATAACCGTTCTTGATGTGAGGTTCCACTGTATTAAATTTTGCTTACTTTTTTTTTCTTTGTAAAGGAAGAGTTGGAAATTCCTCTCACATATAATGAAATTTTTCATAGGTTTGTTATTTAAATTACCAAAAAAAGCAAAGAAAAATGAAAGGTTACACACATACACACGTACACAAAAAACTTAAAAAAAAATTTTCCATTTAAATTGCATGTAATTGCCTATAAGCAAATATCTGCATACATATATAGCCTATTAGAGAGAGATTTATAGTACACTTATCAGGGATGCACATGATGGCGGTTTTTAATCTCTACGCTAGAGTTTCTTTAGTTTATTTTCAATATATAAAAAATTTTTTTTTCGATATTGATTTTTATTATTTGCCAGCACACACATACACTATTATATGATTTTAATAACTACTTAAATTAAAAAATTTCCTTTTGCTACATTCTTTACTACCAACAAGTCCTTGACAAAAAAAATGTGAATTTTCTCGTCCAACTTTCCTACTATTATTACTATTATTTACTTATTTATCCTATTTCTGGTTTATATATATTCAGAGAGTTTCCTCTTCAATTCATTTGATTACAAAATAATTTATTGACAAAATGGCTGGCATCACCATACAACGTCAATAAAATACGAAAAAACAGAAGTAAAGTAAATATCTATAGAGAAAAACAACAAAACCCAAATAAAAGTTGGAGACGCAAATCTATGAGCAATCATTTCACGTCATTTGGGTTCAATGTGAATACTAATCAAGTCAAATCCAAAAGATCAACAAACAAGTGAAAAGAAGATTTAATAAAAAACCAAAAGTAAAATGTATACCCAAAACAAAAAGAAAAAATAAAAATAGAAAAAGATGTAAAAATAAAGAAATAACGAAAGTATATTCGGTTTGTTTGAACCATACGCTGTAGGCGAATGGATGACTTTTTGCCGTTATTTCATGTAGGATGACCGAGAGCATACATAAACGTGGATATTGTAGCCGTTCTAGTGTATGAGTAAAGAGTAAAATGCGTTGTTTTGAAAAATGGGGCTCACCTTAGCTTACATTACACTACGAACTTGCCCTTTATCTACATTTTCCCATTGTCAATAGCCGCCTGCATTTTTGCAAATTTGAAGTCGATTTACCCGACCTGTGAGAAACAGACGTACGGACGGCCAGAAATGAGTTTAAAATTTGATAACATATATATAGATAGATACACACATATGCTAAACCTTTTTTCTTCTATGAGTCACATATGTTTAATATACGCTTAATATACGCTGCCTATCTTTCGGTGGTGAGTATAAAAACGGGTTAATAAAGCCAAGAAAACTTAAGCGACAAATGCAGATAAAAACTGTAACATTCACAATAATTACCTTCAAGAAGTCCTATAAACACTTACTTAATTGTAAGTTTGGTGCTAAGATGGTTCTTGAGATCATTTAAATTTAAAATCTTTTTCCCTCTCTTGGCTCAGATTCATCTCCTGAATAAGTTGAAGCACTTCGGTCCGTCTATCAAACTGATATCTGTCGATGTATTCTGGTCACAATTTTTGATCCCACTGCTTCTATGGAATAAGATTAAGCCATGTTCTATGTCATGCATTAATTTTTTACGTTTAACAAATTTCAAGTTTCAAATTCAGAGTTCGTCCTTGCAATTCAACATGGTTTTGATAACAAATCGTCCTTTTGGCAGGTAAAAAAATCTTGTTTTTCTTTTTACAAAGCTAAACTTTTCTCAATAAATTCCATGTAGAATTTGGTACCATCCTTTAGCGGCCTATCAGCTGCGAAAAAAGAATGATAAAGAAAGCTGTGTTCTTTTTAAAAATGAATTTTTCCCATAATCCTTAAACTAATATATGCAGACCTGAACGTATAAACAATCCAATTTTCCATTACAAAAAATGCAAACGTTTTTCAAAAGATCTATAAAAAAATTAAAAGATGCTGTCTCAATCGGATTGCAGATTTTGTTCACTTAAAAAATAGTTAAAGGACGTCGATACCTTCACAGATTTAGGCGTTCTATTTGACCATAGATTACGTTTTAACTTGCATATTAAGCTCCCGTTAAGCAAAGCTAGGCCCGTGCTTGATTTTATAAAGAGGTAGTTCAAAGAGCTTGATGATGCTTACATTACTAAAAGGCTTTACAAGTGTTTGGTTAGACCTATACTTGAGTATGCCTCTGTTGTGTGGTCTCCTTCATGTAGGTGCTAAGTAGATTCAATTGAATCTGTTCAAAAACAATTCTTGCTTTTTGCCCTTAGGAATTTTAGTTGGGATCCGATTGCCTCTCTTCCCCTCTATGAAAATAGGTTGTTTCTTTTGTCCTTACCGTCTCTAAAAAAACGCAGATTTGTTCTTGGCGTTTCCTTCGTAATCAAAGTAATAAATGGTGCTATTGACTCGCCTGCATTACTTGGTGAAATAAGCTTTAATGTCCTCAACCGCTTCTCTAGGCACTTTACCTTGATTAAGCTTAGGCAATGTAAATATAATTATGAGCTGTTTAACCCGCTCAGAGTTGTTTGCAAGAAGCTAAATGATGTCTATCACTTATTCTCATTATCGGACTCTTTAAAGTCCATCAAAGCAACATTGCTAAATGCGCTTTACTTACCTATGTCATACTTAAACTACCTCTTAACCTCAAAATGTCACGATGAGTCGAAAATTAATTGTTGTTAACTACTATCGGTTGCCAAGCTTATGCTTGTTTGCGATGACTTAGGAGTTCATTTGCAATTCGGTCCTGTACCGGTTGTGGGTGTGGCTCTATGCTAGTTGTGTACATGCTTTTTTTTCTTTTTTTTTTTCCTTCTTATTTGCATTATTACACTTATACTAAGTTTTAATATTAGTTAATTTAAGATTTACTTTAAGAGTCAATTGAACTCGATTGTCAATTTGTTTTAGTTGAGTTTCTTGTATAAATAGAATAAATAAATAAATAAAAAACTGAAATGGATCTTACACCGTAATCTCAAAAAGCCTACAAAAAACAAGTAACAGTACTACAGCCGTTTAAAGCCGGCTGTTATGTAAGAGCATAGTTTTCATGAAAACCCTCATATTGGAGGGTGCCCCAAATTTAGCAAACTTAATTTACTTGTCAAAAATTTTACTATTTTCCAGTTGCTTATAAAAAATGACAAATTAGTCTTTGTTCTTATAGAAAGGTTCGCTTTTCATGAAAGCCTTTATATATGGTTGAGTCTAAAAAATGGATCTACATGTCTTATCCAAATTCAATAAGATCAATTTTTACGTCTAATACTTATTACGAACAAGCTTTCATCGACAAATATTCGAAATTAGTCCTTTCAACTATATAAAAATTCATTTTCTATAGCATTCGTCCTTAGACAAAGACAGCTCAGTGTAGCAAATTCCATCAAAATATCTTAAAAATTACGGTATATAGGTTGAACACAAGAAAACAAGACAATCTTAGATCGCTATAAAAAGCGATTCCATAACGATCAGTATAATAAAAAATTAGTCTGTTTCAAATCCTTCTAGGCGTTAATAAAACCTCGTGCAATATGTGGTGCGGGCTACAAAGATGCATCTCTGTGAAATGAAATAACATAAATTAAAATCGGGTCCATTCAAATTTAATTCAAATCTAACATAATTTCACAAATTTCAATTCATTACGCTGCTGTACGATTAATATAATAGTAAACTAGTGCTAACGATTGGGTGAAATGACGCCAAACCCCGTGCAGCCAGCGATGGGAGAATGTGGTAGATAATGTTTCAAATGGACGGATATTTTCAACTATACCTTGCCAGTTATATTATTTGGACAAGACATTATGAAAAATCATATTTCTAATAAAAGCATGGAAAAAACTTTGAAATGTTTGATTCCGGCATCAAACCGCTACTTCAAGATTTTATTTATTTATTGTCTATATATTTCACAAATAAATTGACAAAGTGTAGATTTAAAGATAGCTGAATAGCTTACATCATTTGCTCACCTATATTGAACATCATTTGCTCCACTTGAGATTTGAGCGAGCGACCATTGAATTGTTAGTTACGATCCTTTGCGTACTCGACTACCCTGGCGGACAAGCACATTAAGATATTTTTTAAATTCTTTGGTCAGGCGCCCTTACCTTTACGATGTCGCATATTAGCGCCATGAACTCTAAAATTAAATGAATATATGTGCTATTAAAACGTTCAAATATCACTTGTACTTAAGCACCCTTTTTTCACAATTCCAATTATGCGGCGCGCTAACAGCGCTCTATGGTACCAAATAATTGACATATATTATTTTCTGGCTCAAGTAGCTTCTTCCACCTAACCTCGTCTGAAGCGGTGAAGCAATTCGTTTAAAACCAGAAAATTCGTTTATAAAACGGCATAGCTTCCCTTACTTTATTTACTTTGGTAGCGGATGGGAGCTGCTCCTCCGAAGCGGAATGATCATTCAACTGTCTATTTTTCGCTTCCATTCTATAAATACTATTTGTAATACCTTCACCCGATTATCTTTTTAATATAGCTATGAAGTGTTTAGGCAATTGTACCATTTATTGGTGATTGCATTGCCTTCCACAGCCGAACTGTTGCGTTCACCAATCGCGTATACAGGCATCCTCTTAAAAACACGCCCCAAACAAAGAATGATCGTACTTCTTTGGAGTAATATGTGTCCATTGGTTCAAAATGGCATCGTAGTATTCTGCGGTCAGTTCCATGTCGTCAGTATCGCCACCCAAAAAATGTACAAAACCGTTAAAAGAACTGTGGACAGACCCACATTATACTTTTTCATTGGCGCTATCGCAAACAATTCTCCACTGGTTACGTCGTACATGTTGCATTTATTATGTGGCTGAGGTTCCCATAGTCATTCATGGCTAATAGCACATGAAGCTTGCTGTTCCGAATCTAAGTTTTATTTTTAGACAAATATTTTCATCTCATTATCATGACGTTGACGCTGTAGATCACATATGCAGAAGAGTTCCAGAAGAAACTGATTTCTTAAAAACTCAGATATGAGCTTCTCGTATCTCTGCATCGTAACTAATCCAGTTCAAAATACTTTCTTAAGCAATTGCTTAGTGTTGGACATAAATGTTATCTCACTATGTTATGTCACTATCGTTTTGAACTGGAAAGAAGCATTAAAAAATAAATTCAACTTAGAAATAGTTAACGTTTAAACAAAAGAATCAGAGTGTATGCATATCCTAACTGTTGCAACCCGTTTCTTGTTTACATATTTCCTCGAAGGACAGCGCTAAGAATTCCTCTTGATTAACGAAAGCGGAAAGCCTTTTACAATACATTTTTTACAGTAAGTAAAGAGTTCTAAACAAGAATACGTACTTTCAAACTGACCAAATATTTATAGGTCGAAAACATATAAAAAAACTTGTAGAACTTGCTGGCAATCGACGAAATATTAAAACAATTCGTTAGCCTTAGCACGCGTTTTAGAAAGTGCTCACAATTATTCTTCACCATTTTAGGACATAATATCGGAAAAAGTTGCAGATTTCTTGTAAAATTGTTGCTTGATAGCTTTATGGACCTGCTTGCATTGAAAGATCGCTGCGAAAAATGTACAACCATCTTCGAGTATGGCCGCGCAGAAAGAATTTATTTTTATGAACTCCACTAGAAATCCACAGGTCTCTACACCTTTGATTAGATGTAGTTGTTTTGAGAGATCTTTGGTACGTATAGCGTGATGCTGGAACTGCCTACTCTTGGGCTTACGCATTTTTGCGCACTCTAACAACGCCTTCCGGGTTAAGTTATTTAGATACCTTACCATAGTTATATAGCGGATAATATGTTATTCACTTATATTACTATTATTCACTGTATTTCTCTAATATATTGGATTGTCAAGGTAGGTGAAAATATAAAGAAATAAATAAATAAATAATTAATAAATAAAAGCAAGGAATAAGAGGGGACGCTATCTCAATGGGACTTAGTGCTTAATCTCATTGTCGAAACAATTTTTTAAGGTTGGGGAGCCAAATTACTTACGGCTAGCTGTATCTACTATCTACTAATCTTAAGTTTTAAAGTGTCAGCGGTAAATCATGACTTTTTTTTAGTTTATGTTATTGGATAAGTGAATTTATTGATTCATGCAAGAGATATACACTTTATATACTGCCTTTGTGCTTATTAGATATCTATTTTCTTATGATGAAGTTTAGAATATTATTATTTGTACATACCCAGTGTTAAGTTTAAGCTTTAACAATTCGGGGCAAATTGTACCCTGTAGTAAATGTAATTACTTCAAGAAGTGCTTTGTATTGTTTTCTAAATACATATAAATAAATAAAAGTAAACTATGCCGAAAATGCTGCTACCGACTCAAACATACTGCGCAGAATAAACCGAACATTTTCAGAAGCAAGCCTTGTTATATAGGCCTCTAAAATATGTAACTAACGTACGGCTCAAGTGTATTGTTTTCTGAATACATATAAATAAATAAAAGTAAAATATGCCGAAAATGCTGCCACCGACTAAAACCTAATGCGAAGAATAAACCGAACATTTTCAGAAGCTATATCGGCCTCTAAAATATGTAACTGACGTACGGCTCAAGTGTCAACTTGGTTGTGACGATATGCAATTTAGTCGACAAAAAATAAACGAAATAACTTCCCGAACAACCCAATACAATAATAAATAGTATAATAAAGCCCATATACAAATTAAATGCAATTTGAAAAATGAGTAGAATTTTCGGTTAATTTGTCCAGCATCGCATCTTAATTTGAAGAATAAATGCGTTTGTATAATGGTAACCTTCAAAGCACAGAACGTATGGTATTGCCATTGTCCAAGGTCACTGTACAAGGACAAATCAAGTTGGTGCGGATGTATGCCACGCTGCTCAATCCACTCTTTGAGGATTTTGATGAAATTTGGTTTAGTCGCGTGTTTGATCCAAGGAGGAATTTTATTGAAAATGGTTCGAATCGGACCACTTGTTCGAGCATTTCCCACATAACGTCTTATTTTGAATACGTACAGTGTTATATGGGGTACTAGGTACATAATAACCACCTTAGTGCTCATAGACGCAAACATTGTGTCTATACAGCCATTTCGTTCGCGTCACAAATGTTACTGTTATTGAAATAATTTATTTAACAATTTAATGATGTTACCAATTCTTATCGTTATTTAATGAAGCAACATTTGCATAAGTTTCTCTTTATCTATAATAAAATTTCCTTTTAAGCATTATCAATCATTTCTCATTAAGTATTAAACGCAAAAAAAATCACTTAATTTTGTGGTGATTTGTTAAACTGTTGTATGAAAGCAAAGAGTAAATAATTTAATATCCTTTTTAACTTTAAATATGTTTACATGAAGCTTGATATGCATAAGTACCGACCGTCTGTATAATGCGGTTAACGGCTGATGAGGTTTCTCATTTGCTCAAGCAACGGAAATAAGACCGCAAAGAGTTCAATAGCGGGAAAAAGATATCGAAATTTCTGAATACGCGGACAGAACGTTTAACTAAAATGAATTAACCGCTTACACGAATACGCACATGTGAAGAAAAATATTGGCATTTCAAGAACTCGCAGGAATTTATTTATTTTTTCAATTCTACTACATGAATATTAGCTGAATTAGAATTATATTTGCTAACAATTACATACGACGATAATCCTAACACTAAAGGACTGCAAGACTTAACCAAACGTAACTATAACTATGTCTATGTATTCATGTTTCAATAAAATGTAATTAGAAATACCAGAGCACCAACTTGGCTTTATGGACCAGAGCCCAAAACTGCAATCCAACAAACAAACGAATACCGGAGTTCAAGGGGACCGTTTCTATGTTAAATGAGTTGTGATATGGTTATGTTTATCGTTTGAGGTCTAAAACGAGGGATGAAATAAAACGTTCGTACGTGTCAAAACAGCCGCCGTAGCATTACATAATTTTAATAAATTAAGCCCTTGTATTTTATTGAGGCATTATATATATCGTTCATGAAGAATATTTTTAAGATGCTTATATCTTCAATGCAATTAAACAAACAAAATTGTGGCGTCTTTGAAACCTCTTTCTAAACGTTGCAAACATTTCGACGAAATTAAAATGCCTCTCATCCTTCGGTGGGGGGTTTAAAAAAGGAATTATCTAAATTTTTAGCAGACCACTAACGCCTTTATAGCTCTTTAATATCTACCGGGGCCTATTAACATAACTTTTTTTTTTGTTTAATAAAGATGTAATCGCTTAACAAAACGAAGTCTCGTAATTTTTTTTTTTTTTTGTTTGTTTTGTTTATAACCGTTATCCACCCTTTAACTCGATACTTTAATCTGTGATGGGCCTTAAGCTAAATCATACCGTTTAAAACACTAACTGCAGCCGCAGTTATGATAAACAAACTACACTCCGTTCATAAACATGAACACAAGGGTCACCTATACTAACACAGACATATTGTGTCAATATAGACAAACTTTGTTGGCTTAACAACCAAATCAAAGGAACAAAGCTGCACATAACGAATAAATAGATAAAACAAGTCAGAACAATTTTCGCAGCTCGGGACGAATTGTGATTACTCCCCATCCAGAGTATTTTCTTAAAAAACAAGCCTTACAAATTCCAGAATAACTTCGGATTCACAGAATACGGTGGACTGCGTAGAAAACATGAGTGTATAATATTTGCAGTGTTTTCTTATGCCGCACCATATGTGATACAGAGGTTTATTGAGTATGTGCGGAAGTATACAACACTCAGGACTTGTGATAGACTTATATAGAAAATAATTCGGAAAACGGTTCTGAATCGATCTAAGCTCTTCTGTTCATCTATCCGTTAAATCGTCTTATATTGTTGTGTTCACCGTGTTTTCAGTTATTCTTATGAAATTTGTTCACTAACGTACTTTTGGACCAAGAACGAATGCTATTAAAAATGTTTCGAGTCGGACCACTGTTCCGATCACACCCCATCAAACACATTATTTTGATGAGTTATTAAACGAAAAATCATTTCAATTTTTGAAATTCCGCGACGAGAATCGTTTAGTAATAATATTTCGGCATCCTTAATTGGTGTAAGATCCTTCGATCAGCTAAGTCAATTTTTTGCCATAAAACCGGAGGAAAAATACAGAAACTAAATTTTTATAAGAAAAGGATTCATTTTCAATATCTCAATACTTGATGAATTATCGTTCATAATAACAACTGGACCTAAAAACTAACCTGGCCGAATTGGGATAACGTAAATCTATCTTTTGGATTTCAACACATTATATACATTATAAATCATAAAAGTTGGTCATTAGTAGATCAATCATAGGGAATTTGGACCACATAAGACTATTTTTTAGACTGAACCATATGAAAGCCTCTCATGGAAACAAGTCCTTCTTAATTTGTGGTTTGTTATAACATTGAAGCAACTGTAAAATAAGAAAATCTTGGAGAATTAAATAAGGTTTGCTGAATTTAGACCACTTTGCCATTCTAAGTATATTCCAATATGAGGGCTTTTATGAAATTTATGCATTTATTAAAAAATAGTTTATAATTTTTTGTATATAAATAAAAGAGAATGACTCTATTAGGGAAAATTGTTTAGGGTATCTAAATGATGACCTTGCCTATATCAATCTATATAGAAGTCTTGCTTATTGTGTATTATGGATTTAAAGGAAAAAGTTTAATTTTCCTTCAAATATAAAAACAATAATTAATGTTAATATAAAATTTTAAAGTGAGAATTCACTTAAACATTTTCCATAAACAATATACAAACAATAATTAATGTTAATAGAAAATGTTTAAGTGAATTCTCACGATTTTCTCTAGAGGATGTTAAAGGTTATATAGCAAGCTCAAATGGAAAATTGTTGGAGTTATAATGCGGGCCATTTGAAAAACTCGTTTATCGGAGAAAACACTTTGAAAATTTTAAATATCCCTAATACTGGCATTTAGTTACATATGAAAAATCTGCATTTTTGAACCATTTGGCCATAACCCGTAATCACTTAAGGAATCATTGAAAAATTAATCGAGGTTCCCGTCCTTAAGAAAAATTTCAGTTTTTAAACAAATGAATGAAATAGAAAACAAGTAAGACCGTTATAGTCGGTCATTAGATACCATACATTACTCGTTATAGAAGCTTCTATTAGATTTGTGTGGATGTATGCAACAACCAGAGGAATTGAAGAGGACAGACTCATCTTTCATTATACTGAACGATTCAAAACGACTTTCTGAATTGATTTATCCTTTGATTTGGTTGACCGTCGTCTGTCCATCAGTCGCCTTGCTTTCTTGTATGTAACCTACATGAAGCAATTTCTAAGATAAATTTATGAAATTTGGTACTCTTCCACTTTCCATAAAATGTCTATATTTTGAAAAACTGCTATATGAATAACTATGCGGTGGGTGCAGGGTGTTTCATAGAGGGCGTGTCTCGCTCTATTCTTTTTACTTATTGTAAATAAACAACTTATCGTTCATATCGGTTTATAGATATTATATTAAATAATAATACAAACAATAACGTAAATATCGTTCTTTATCAAGTTCTTCTTTAAATAGAAAAATTGAATTAATAATAAACACGACACACAGATACAATTTTTAATGCCGATAATACCTGTATATCATTATTATTATTAATATTATTATTATTGTCAACACGTTCTTTAAAGTTTTGTCGGACTCTCAATGTGGATAGATGTTCGTTCTCATGTGTTCTTTTTTTCCCGTTCACGGAATTTTCTCTGACATTTATAATGATATGGTTGTTGATAGTAATTTTAATAATAATAACAACATCACAATTGCTGTTATTATTATTGCATATCCGATGATAACAAGTAGGAAAAGTAGGAAAGCTATATTCGGCCAGGGCCGAATCTTGTGCACCCAGCATTTCATCTCATTTTATGATGCTGTGGTCGTCTCTTGCTATTTTTGAGATAAAAATGTATACAATGCCCTTTTCGGTGTAACTCAAAAATACTGAGCAAAAAAACATGAAAAATTAAACGAAGTAAATCGTAGTACTTTACAATAATGATTGGGCGTATGCAGTTTTTTCTAATTAAAGACAATGTATTTTCACGTGAAGAACGGAACACAAAAAAGTTTTCAATGTTTTTTGTATTTGTCTTGTTAGTAATGAACAGAAAATGAAAAGAAGAAAATCTGGCCAATTTGTGTGAGCGTGGTGGACAGCCTTCTACCTTTCATAATTTACGACTAATGAGTAAAAACACCCGAATTTTTGCTTAGAAAGAGAAGTGTTATCGGTTTACGCTTTACTGCGGATGCGTCGTTTAGCCGAAGAGAGGCGAACTTGTTGGAACAAAGAGGCGAACTTGTCACGTAAAATGTCTACATTTTTGGTCTATGTCTTGTGATTGTTTAGCCGATTTCACCAATTTTCAAGACAAAGCAGTTTGCGTGAACATCTAACGTTTCTGCAAATTTGAGTTCGATATCCTAATGTTTGTGATCTAGAAAATTTTAATAACACACGTCCACACAGACACATAGACATGAATAGATCACTGTAAAACTTAACACTGATCCAGGATATATATTGTATACAGACTCTTTGAAGCTTCCTTTTGAGTGCACCAAACACTATGACCCAATAAGTTTGCTCCCTTTTTCTCGATTGTGGATATAAACATTATTACATTGAACGGTAAAAAAAAGAAATGTGAGCAAAATACCACCAATAAAGGCGGTTTATATTAAATTAGTTAAATAAACCGCAACAGCTTTTGTTAATATTAAAAATTCCCAAGTAAGCTCTAAGAAAAACAAATATTTGGGCGTAATAACCGCGAAACGTAACTGCATATATCCATTATGTAGAAAATATATGGATAATGATATCTGATCAATATTTAAAAGAAAATTGAACTGAAAAATTTTTAATCAATTCTTTTAAATAAAAAGAAAAACTGATCTTATAACGAAGACTTCAAACGTTTATTTAAAGTTCATAGAGAGTTGTGTTAACTACAGATGTGTTATCTCTTAAACATTTAATTACCAATCATCAGATCGGTACAACCGCCAAAAACATTATCCAAGGGTACGATATAGGTACTTCGGTGCGTAATAGGTGAGGGACGGACAAACGCGACCATTTTGGCTCTAAACAACGTATTTTTTAAACGAATAGATTTGCCTCGTTTGTATTTTCTTTTTGCTCTTCCAGGCAACACCGTCTTGGCAAATTCAGTGCACAACAACGCCTGATGAGCAAAAGCAGAAAAACACTGTGCAACGCTCGATTGATTCTGGCCATGTTAAGAATGTGGTAATATATTGGACAATCTGCACATTGGAGATGGGGCTTGGATCAATCATTTATCGTGTCATTGCAGACCCCAAATTCAGATTCCGGATAGCAGTTTTCCTCATTAGCAACTGCCTAACGATGTAGGACCACGAATTTTGCCTTAAATATCTCAACCGTCTGACATATTGAGAAGAAGAGCGATAATTAAATTTAATTTTAAACAATAGAAGCTATTGTTAATTTTTGTATCTAAGATATTGGGGAAAATAAATTCGTTTAATCTTTGAACAAGCGCTAATTATTCAATGGTTAATTGTTTGTTAACGCATTTATTTACTGCACAGAAATATACAACAGACTTATAAAGTCAATTGGCCACTATTTGCCGTATTTACATTTAGTATTGACTCATCAAAGACGCAACTGTCTTCTATCTACAATTCAATCCAAGGCGGTCGGCTGAGCGCACAGATATACAAACAGAAACGCAGACGAGTGCAACGATGGTCCGAGGGATATAGAAGGGTCGGATTTGCAGACAGAAAGACGAATGACTCTTGTCAACGTGAAGGTTGTTTTTGGAAAACAATCATTTCTAATGAATTTGCATATAGAAGTTAAGACGTAGTACAATTCTCTATGCGAGCGTAATTAAACCAATCACTAACTAATAATTACATACAATGAATGAACGAACAGAACAGCACAAACGAAAGACGAACAGCCAAGTAGATAGAAAGATAGGCGGAAGGATGGACAGAGAGTAAACAAATGGATGGACCAGCAAAATGATCTTCGTGAAGTCGTCTTTAAACCTCAGATTTAGATTATTATTCATATGTTCCTCGCTCCTGACAACAGACAAAAAACCCGGTTTATTATTCATACTAAAAATTCTTATTATAAAATGTTCACATTTTTTCGTAAAGAATATTTTTTCGATGGTTTTAAATTTCGTAAATTGTTCGTCAATCCTTTTGTTACGTGTTCGTTAGCACGCTCTCAATGTAATGTCGAATTGATGTCACTTGGCTTTTTTTGAAATTTTATCCCTCGAGCGTCGCAATGTCCGGCCTCACGCATGCATGGCAGCACTGTTTGCAGACCCATATGTATTCTAGACGAAACCACCGCTTCAAATGTACGTAAAATTTCATGCGATTTTCATAATTGCTTTACAAGTTGCAGTTGTTTTATGGCCCCTTTGGCCGACTTTCGCGGGTAGCTATCTACTCGGCTGTCTGCCATTTGACTTTGGAGTACAGTGAGAAATTCATGTTTTATTCATGTTCCATTCATTGTCATAAAACATTGATCCATTTCATTTGGTAATCACGAGCTTCTGTTTCAGATAATTCACAAAAGTGGCTGAATTCAAAGCGGAAACTAATTTTCATCTACGCGATAACCCCCCAGGTGTAATGTCAGGCAACAGCGTTGCCATATATGATATATATCAGACCTAGTAACTTATTGAGTGAGATGATATATCATATCCGTCATAAATAACTGCTATTATTATTATTATCATTTTTTTAACAATTTAATAATGTTACAATTTCCTATTGTTATTTTATGAACCAATATGTTCGTTTAAGTTTTCCTTTATCTGTAAAAAAATTTCCTGCTAAACATTATCAATCATTTCTCATTAAATATTGAATGAAAAAATATATCACTTAATTTTATGGTGATTCGTTAAAACGTTCTATAAAAGCAAAGGGTAAATAATTTAATATCCTTTTTAACTTTAAATACGTTTATATGAATGTCGATATTCGTATGTGCGAATTGTCAATATAATGCAGTTAAAAGCTAATGTAAACTTTCTCATTTACTCAAGCAACGGAAATAAGAACAGGTGGAGGCGAATAACAGCACAACGACATCGAAATTTGTGAATATGGGAACAGAATGTTTAATTAAATGAATTCACCGCTTAACGTACATACGCATACGCACTAAAAGCAAATCTTATCATTAATGTATTCTCTCGTTACAGACTTAACGAAAAGAACAGATGGGCGAGTGCACTCACATTTACCTTATATATCTGCCAGACCCGCTATTCAACGACACTATTCCAATCATTTCTTCTCCAAAGAGCAGCGGGCAGCCATTTGAATCCATAACGACATCACTCTAATCTTTTGCGAGTTTTTCTTGCCCCTTTACAGCCCTCTCCGACAGAGCTTTTTATATGGATCATCAGGTTTGTTTTTCACTATTGAAATTGCAGGTTTAGTCTTTATTTTCCGGCAGCTCAAATGTAAGATCATTACAAACATCTATATAGCGACAGTAGCAACAGTGGCTTACAATTTGATGAGGGTTAATCTTCTTCGTGTATTTCTTTTTCCCAAATTCAAAAATTTGACGGTATCATTGATGGACTTTGATAAATATATTCGCGAAATACTGGAAAGTTACCCATTTTCTTCCCATATTTCGAATCCATATGTTGTTCCTCCGAGTAAAGATTGCCGACATCAGGATTACTGTTTAATGAAAGTTTTAAATATGAAATAGTTATTATGTTGAATGTAAAACTATACTAAGTTTCGACGAATTGTTCGGCACTTTTAAAATCTGACCTGCTGCGCCTAATTGATAATGAAACTGAATTCCAAATGTCAATTTACAATACAGAAGATGTGATTTGTGCGATTTACTTCAAGTTTTCTCACTATAAGAAGGCGCTTGCAACTTCAACAACATTTAGTACTTATTCCGAAGTCCGATGACTGACGAAAAAGTTTAGTAAGGAGCTGACTTGAAAATGCTTTGCTTTATTAAGCCTCAATCGAAAAACTTCGTGTTCACACTGAGCATTTTTTTCCAACGTGGTGAATCATCTGTTGTTGGCCAGTCGAATATTTCAGAAAAAAAAGGTGCAAAAGCCAACATTTACTAGACAACGTGATGTCAAATTATTTAGCATTCCTTTTAATTTTGTAATCCTGCGCAATCGATTTTCTCCCAGGAATAACATAAAGCGAATAAGAACCTTTGTTACCCACCACTCGTAACTAATGCATTTCATTATTTTTGCGGAATGTAATGTAAATAAAAGGAAAAGTCTGTTGCGGCTTCATACTTGAGCGAGTAAGGACAAGACTAGATCTGGAGACGCATGTATCGTATTGCATAGATAAATGGCTAACAAACGTGTGATGTATGACCAAGGGCGAAGCTAAATGAAGTTTGGAAGATGTCTCTCAGACATAATTCGAATTGCGCTTTTATTACTCTCTTTCCAACAAAACGGATAAGTGAACTTCATGTTTTTTCGTTGTTAGAGGGCGAAGCTAAATGAAGTTCCGAAGATGTCTGTCAGATACACTTCGAATTACACTTCTTCTTCTGTTTCTAACAAAACGGATAAATGAACCTCATATCTTTTTGTTGCTAGAAAAGATTTTGAATATTGCAGCCGGCAGAAAGTTTGAATATTGTTCTCCTCAAGCAGCAAAACATATCGAATAAGGAAAGGCAGGAAAGCCATAAGGCTTACCTTCTGGTTTTTCATTAAACCTGACATAACATGAAAACGAACATATTTAGCTTTTTACTTAACCTATACCAATTTGCTCACCAAATTATTCAATACTAGCAAAAAAACAGAAGTTCTAAAAAACGCTTCAAAAACCATCTAAGCAAATGACCAAAATATGGTTTTTTCTTATGACTGGTGACCAGCTACAACGCCAGCAAATGGTTATTGTAAGTGAGAAAGTAGGCAAAAGTTGATACGATGAATAAATGATTCGCGCAAAAAACAGTGTGTTTAATAAATCAACCACTAAATCTAACATCTTATTCAATCATAACAGAGAGGTTCAAAGGCCCTACTAAGGTAAATAAATCTCAGTTGATTTGCGATCGTATTTGAATGCATTTGTGCTGATGAAATAAATGTTTCTTTTTTTGCGCGCTTATAAGCTCTGCGCTAACCACAAACACAAGTAGAACTTGTCCTGATTTTATGCAAGTAGAAAATTGGCTCAAATTATGTTGTATATGATGAAATTATGAAGAGGACTTAATGCTAATGTTTGCAACAAAATGTAATTATATGCAATTGAAATAATCTTTAGATGTACATACGCGCACACACACACACATGCACACGCTCATGCGTCATATAAATGCAGTTACATTATAACTATATATACCAACTCATGTTCCTCATTATAGGCTGTGATTATGTTTACACAGAAGCTAAGTACAATTGTAATCCCCCTTACCCTTCCCGGCTTGCACACACTCACTTTGTCTCTCTCTCTCTCTCTCTCTCTCTCTCTCTCTCTCTCTCTCTCTCCCTCTTTCTATCTTTTCTACCTTCTCTTGCTAGGCTTGCATTAGCATTTGTAATGTAATGGTAGAAAATAAAAGCTAATAAGTAGCATTTGTCTGCCAACAATGCGCTAATAACGTTGATTAACAAACAGATGAGATTTAAAATATGTATATGTATATGGATATGCATTCGAGAATAATAGCTATGAAAAATTAGGTTTATTTTATCCTTATTACAAGTTACATACGCGCACATGCCGAAGCTCCCGCGCAAACACATTTACAAAGTTGGGCAGATTATTGTGATTAAAAGATAATTGCTTGGAAATTGTCAACAAAGCATAAATATTTAATTGGTACAATTATTGAATTGTGTATAGGATGACGACAACATCGCCAACAACAGATTGTTACACTAATTAAAAGATTTTCAAAAAATATTTCAAATCACAAAAATTTGTCGCAAATTATTTTATTTAATCGTATCGCTCACGAAATGTTCACCATTTAATTTACCGTCATCACGTAATTGCTGCTCGATGCGACGTTTCTCCTCTTGCCCATCGGTGCCTAAACCAATACGTTCAATAAATTTAGCAGCACGAAAACCAGAAGTCTAAATAAAGAACCACAAATTAACTAAATGACAAATCACACTTCAAAAAATATTCGCACCTCATAGAACAAAGCTCTTCGTCGTTTGCTCACTTCTGGATCAAAATGCCAAGTGGTTCTTTGATGTGTTATCGGTTCTCCAGCCACATTATTTTCTAATGCTTCTGTTATCAACCGATAGATAAACGCTTCCGATATTGAAAAGTTAAAAATTAAGAGTATTAAAAGAATCTAAAATAAAAAAGAATGGACTTAGAGAACAAATTATGGTTTTTATATCCACCACTGAATAATAAGGGGACACTCATTTTGCTTTTTTTCATAACGTATGTATCACCCAAAAAGAAAGTTCGAATACCCTCCATAGTACATAAATTCTTGATCAACGTGAAATTCTGATTTGAACAAGCCATATCTGCCCGTCAGTGCATCAGTGTAATGTGTACTGTTGGCATTCTTCTGGTCGCAAAAATGAAGCTATCAACCTCAAATTTGGTAAAAATATTATAAGTTTTTGAACTGAAAATGGTCTAAATTGGTCAGAACAAAAGCCAGTAATGGAGCACAAACTGAACACAAGTCCGTTTTTCCTAACAAAAATTTTTGGGTTTTTGTTCGTTACTCACATATTGTAAAAGTTGGAAGGCTGATAATTTGCACATTTACTTAACGAAATATTCTAGTCCTAAGACGCAAAAATAGAAATAATCGGCCATGCCCACTCAAAGTTCGAAGTGAATAAATTTTATTTTTTTCACATTTTTGAGACTTTATGCCTATTTATCATATGATTAATTCTGAAATGAATATAGTAGACACCGCGATTACTTCTTTCTTAATAACACAGCGATATGGGTATCAAATAGAAGAACTTGAAAGCTAGAATGCGATAAACTGTATTACTTGTAATTTAATTATAGTGGACGTTTAATATATAAACATCTTGGGGCCTTTAGGAAAATCCGGTTTTTTGGACATTAAAATCTTAAGTGGACCAAGCATTTGTATGGAGGGTAGACGGGATTCGGCCCCCGTCGAATATAATTTTCTTCCTTGTTTTAAATAGTTTTGATTATTATCATTATTATTATAATTTCTTTATTCCAAAGGAATAAAATCTTGGACTTAAAGAAGATGAGCACGAAAAGTATCTGTTGCTTTTTTAGAAAAAAAAACAACTAGATTGTTTGTCTAATCTTTTTAAAAGAAATTTTGTGCTGTATTATATAAAAAGCCGAATACAAACAAAATCATGAACTGCTTTTGTAGAATTTGCAATTATGGAACTGTATATTAAAAATTAGATCTTTTCACAAATAAAAGCTTATTTTCCGCAAGAATGGTTATGTCCAACAGGTTCAAAAATTAGGTCCCAAAATGGATAATTTTCGTCATCTATAACTTTCCATCCTGTGAAGTTATTTCTGTAAATTGTGACCGAAACGTTCGTCGGCATCGCCTTCAGGTTCAGTACAAAAGCAGTCTGGATTGGCTTCTTAATGCGACCGAAATTTGTGATAAAATTGTAATGCTTAGTAAACTGATCGGATCCATTTATAACCAAGCATGCAGATAGATTTGACGAAGATTTAGGTAGCAATATTTTCCCAGGTCGAAAGTTATAAATGAAAATGTGAAAATACTATCATTTTTTTCAAGGTTGTTTCAGTTTCTTATCTTTTGTGGGTAGACAGATCGCAACCATCTTTTTCACACTGGATTCTTAATCGATCAAGGAGTACCTATGATAAACTTCAAATTTCTACCACAAGTGATGTAAAGTATTAAAGCATTATAGCTGCGGCTAAAGTGTTCAAAATTAAAGATGGGATCATGCATAGTGATATGGTAACGACTAAAGTCATTTCAAAACAAGGATAGTTATTAGCAATTATACACCGCACCACTCCTACTACAAGTACATATTAAATTTGTACAGATGTACTCAGAAAGAATTGACATTCTACTGACCGACTCACAATCATTTTCTCAATCCTTTTAAGACTCTGTGTCCATCTGTACGTCTTATTTTTTTGTGTTCAACCTACAGGTCCCAATTTTTAGGATATTTTAATGCAATGTGATTCGCCGACTTATTTTGGTCCTAGCTCATACTATTACGATATAGTATTTGTCACGAAACATTGAAAATTATACCTTTTTGTCGTATGAATTTTAGTTGTCGTTATGTGAGGAGGTTTAAAAATTGTTCCAGCCGGTTCAAAATTTTCATACCAATTTAGAATGTCCAAACAATACTACTTAGTCACTTCTGGTTAAAAAGTTTCGAAAATTGCAATTTGTTTCTTTATAACGACGCGTTACATGGGAAGTGGTCGACAAAGTGGACGGGTCTGGACCATTTTCAACCGGGTTCAAAACACGTCACTGTGTCAAATTTCATCGAAATATCTCGGAAATTGCGAGCTGTAACTTGAACACAAATTTACTTCAGACTTCAGACGGACAGACAGGTTTAGATCAATTCAGGTTATGATTCTGAATCGATCGGTATAATAAACGGTGGGTCTATATTAAGCTCTTCTGCTTGTTACCATGTACCACAAGTTTTGCGGGGTATAAAAAATTGAAAAAATTAAACCTTTTTTTTTAAACTTTGATTTATCGTTAAATAAATTGATTCATTTGTTATAGTCATTGAAAAGAGTAATAAAAACTTACATTTTTTAAAAATTTACGCTTCATTATCTAAATCAACTTTTATATATAACCGTCTCTTTAAATCGAGAGAACTCTTAAACAAAGCACTCTGAAGTAAACCGTATAACTAAACTTTAACCAAAGCTTTGACTGCATGATTAGATACAAAATCATCGATTTTTCAAACTCTTTCAAGGAGTTTAGGTATCGCTTCGTAGCAAAGAGACGGCAAAAGCACAGATAGCTGCGAAGAGATTGACAAAAAAAGAGTAGTTTCGGTATCAACAGAAAATTACAATTAAGATTTCTTTGGGTTACTGATGCTTCAGTGGTTTTGGCAGAGGTGCAACGAACAACAATCATTTAAAATTTTATATAAAAGCATATGTTACAATGATTACACTTTGTAAACATGAAATATAACATGAAAATTATAAAAATGTAGGATAATAATTTAAAGAAAGAAGAAATTTTTTTCCAAAAGTAATCAAAAAATATTATTTTAAAAAATCGCTCATGTTCACTGTCGAGCAGCTCTCAAGTAAATCATAATCAAGTTTTATTTTCTCAACAGTTTTTTATCTCGTTTATTACGTAAGAGGCTGTTGTAAATTGTGGTGATCTTGCTGTACATCCGCAAACACAAGAAAACCGGAGTTTAAGCTTTAACCTCATTATGAATTTGCGAATGTATTTTCCTATTCCGCAACAACTAGTTTATTACATTTTTTCAGCGAGGCCTAAGCGCAGCATTATTTTGCGTGCATAGCAACACATAAATACGTGTATATATATATATATATGTACACATACACAGATACATATTATATATAGTCTTTTAGTCACGCATGCTCAAAGTTTATTATATTTTTGCATTTCTTCACTTACGTAAAACCATAAAAGCCTTTGTCAATAGCGTAAAGAAATTGTAAATTGTTATTACAGAGTAGTCAGCAAATGCTTAGCAAACCTGTTCACCTTTCTATATAAATCACCGAAGCATTGGAAGTATATTCGATTTGCCATTTTTTTCATAACATCTCGAAATAATTATCTCATAAACTACTCCACTCTATTCGTCTGTATCTCCGTTCACGTGGTTTCCGTTATTGAAAGCTGGAAACCTGAAATTGTTTGCTAGACATCTAGTGGATGACCATTGATTAAGAAAATTGACGAATCGGTAATCCACAACTACATTAATTGGCTTGTATTTTGGGCACACATCACAAAGTTCTAAGCAACCTTAAACAATTTAACTCATTCTATTGTCACTTGACGACTCAACTCACAATACCTTCTTCCTAGCGCACCTTAACTATCTCTCTCTCTCTTGCTCTCTTGCTCTCTTGCTCTCTTGCTTTCTCTGCCCTTAAAAAGACTCAATTGTGATTATTTTTACCTTGATGTGTGAATGTCGAAAATGTTTATATCATAAATCAATATCTGGTATAGATTATTGTAATAATCTGTGCTGAAGTTTCAGATGGTCTTAGTAAAGACCCGCATCAAGTTCGAAATAAATATCTGTTAAGAATAGCAAGTTAAACATTTTTAGTCTATTAATGGCGACCTGTTTGGCAGATCACTTTTATTTTATGCAGCTTTCTACTCATTATTAACGATCGTGAAGTTACCATCAGCAGAAGGCAAACCAAACATAACCACTCTGAATCTTACGATTGTGAAGAATATGTGTACTTTCCTGGTTGCTGAAAAAAGAACATAGTTTGTATACCGCCGTGTTCGGTTGTGGGCAAGTAATTTAATAGAACAAAATTCCTAAGAAGATAGTTATCGTGCATAACTCATAAATCTTTGAAGAAAATTATCTAATATTATCTAATATTTGCAGATTGCTTAACGGATATATAAGACAGCAATAAAAAATCTTTGCATTCTTTCGCAGGTGAGGGTTATCGAAAACTGTTCTAAAGATGAGCACAATTGTCCTACCTATTATGTCCTATACTACTTGTCGTACAAGGATATATTAAGTTTGTTTGACCTATTTTTTATTCTACCGATTAATTGAGAATTACTTTCTGAATCGATCAAAGCTTCTTCACCTTATAGGTATGATGAAATTTGGTATACCGGCACGTTTGAGCCCAAGAACGAATGCTGTCAAAAGTGATTCGGATCGGACCACGATTTTATCTCTATATACTGAGAACCAAAGTCGGATTTCGTTTTGGTCCCACAATGTAACTAAAATAGGACTCTAAAAAAAGAGCAAGAGATTTTAGATCTCATTGACATAAATCTAATCGGAGTCAACTTAAACGAACACATTGTAGTTTCAATAAATAAATTTTCTCTTAAGAACCCTGACATATACACCGAATGCTACCCCAGCATAGACAGATGGACAATATAATTCATTTCTTAGAATAAATCCTTTCGCTACAAACTTAATACAAAGAATTAATAAAATTGATGGTTTATTTTTAATTGATTATAAGATTGTGCTTAAACTGGAAGTTTTCACTAATGCGTTTAAGTTTAACTTCGCTTTTGTACATAAACTAGCTGACTATGGGAAAGCGTGATAACGCTTGTACGTTTGCCACAATTTGGTTTTCAATTTAGAGAATCTCTTGACGTAAACTGAAAATTTTTGTGAGTTTGTGGGGACTGTATTAGATTTCAAATTGCCATCTGGCCGAAAATGTACTTATCAGAACACGAAAATAGATATTATTGTGAAAACTATTTTGCGAATCTTTTTTCAAATCCGCAAGCACCGCTATTTCTAACTGAACTACAATAAAATTTCCGATTTCTCTCAAAAACCGTACTATGACATCAAAGTTAACTGTTTGTTTCACAAGTTTGTGAACTCTCGCTAAATTTGTTTAAACTTTTCACTCTTGCTTGCAAACCGATTAAAAAGACGTTGCTTGAAGGTTTGCCCATTAGATTATTAAATCATCATAATTACCAATTAGCTTGGGTTTTTATTTAAACCACAAAATCGTTTTTGATTGTGTTATCATAAGTTTAATGCCAATGTCGAGAGTAAAAGTTTAGCCTGACCTAATGAATATCTAAATTCAGCATTTTCTCAATGGTAAAAACATTTGATAATTTGCAGTATTAATTAATTAATCTAAACATTGAATACAAAAATATTGAAATCAGACACGCTTGCCGAGATTGTATAACACCTTTATTCATTTTAGCTGAATTTAGCTGTCCGATCTAAAGCAAATATTTGCATACGTTAGTGTACATACTATAGTATTCACAATATGCATCACCGTAAGAGACCACACCGTATATTTCATCTAAAATAAATTCTTTTATTCGAATTTA